TCGGTTAAGGCACGTCAGGCTAAATGACTGTTTCGTATAGGATACAGGTTCGATTCCTGTCGGAGGACGAATATTTTCTATGAATATTTCTCAGGCTGGTAGATGTTATTAATACTGTTTATTATAAAACAGAGCATTTTACTTAAATATTTGTATCTATAAAAAGAATGTATAAACATAAAAATGTCTTAAAATAATTGTCGGATTTGTCCATTTATATATATATATATATATATATATATATATATATATATATATATATATATATATATATATCGGAATGAGAGAAAGAGAAGAGGGAGTAAAATTCCACTGTTCGTAGCATTTACTTTAAAAAAAAAAAAAGTGCTCAATACAAAGGAGAGCAATATATTATTATTATTATTTTTATTATAAGAGATTATAATAAACTTGTGACTCGCCAGTTACTTACTATCGCCTGAAGAAGTACAATCAAAGTATTGAAACATGGAAGCTTTTGTGTAGCAATTTCAACATATTTTCATTATAATCTCTCATAATAAAATAATTATATATATATATATATATATATATATATATATATATATATATAATCAAATGCATAAATATCAGTAAATGTACGAGCAAGCGTTCGTATACAAATCTATCTATCTATCTATCTATCTATCTATCTATCTATCTATCTATCTATCTATACATGCTATAGTGTAAGGAAAGACAGTACTCAATGTTAAATAACACAGCTATTTAATATATAAAAATATACATGAAATATACATATTGCACAACTCAGAGTTTCATGACATTTTGTAATTGCAAATGGCATGAAACTCTAAAATGGGCAATCAACGTAGGGTATTATGCACACACACACACACACACACACACACACACACACACACACACACACACACACACACACACACACACAAACACACACATATATATAAATATATATATATATGTATAATAAAGGTAACAAATCCGTTGGTATATAATCCAAGTGGATCCTTGTAATATAAAATATTAAAACTGATCCACAAAAAGAACTTAATGTATTTATTATTACAGAGCAAATAATTAATACACAATAAAATCCAAAATCACCTCATATGGGGAATACGCTTAATTCAACCGAGGTGACGTCTATAAATTTAACATGATTCGCTTTTATTTTAGTCATCGAAAATCATTGGAAATGAGTTATAGAAGAGAAAACATTTTTATTATTTGGTTTTCATTGGTCAAACGGACATCACGTGTTTTTGTCTTGTGGTCTTTGTGCTTGTGTGTGTATATGTGTCTGAAGTCTACTAGGCGTTTTTGTATCTGTTTGGTTTTGTCCATGTGTTTAATTCTGGAAAATGATAAATGGGATGATGACATACCTGTAGGTTTGTGTATCATGTATCTAGTTGGTCTTCTTGTTGTGTTTCAAGATTTGCACTTTTAACATTTTCAAAATTTACACTTACATACTTAGAATGAAAGTGCAAATTTCTGTCGGGTATTCAGTATTCATCCATATTTGATTTCAATTAATATATATATATATATATATATATATATATATATATATTAATATGCGCGGTATTTAGTAGAAAGTGCTCAATATTTGTGACAGAGCTGACATATTCAATTGTATGGATATCACTTTGGGTGTGTTTGTACGAACTAAATTGCATACATCTTTATGTATGTGAGAGTGTCATCCCAAACAAACACAGACGAACCCCCCCCCTCATCACACACGAATAATCAAACACAAATAAACATAAATAGATCCACTTCCCCCCCCCAAAAAAAACAGATTTTCTGATGATCGCAAAAGCGTGAAACCCAGGGTTACAAACTAATAACCATACGACTGAAGATATATATATATATATATGTGTGTGTGTGTGTGTGTGTGTGTGTATGTGTGTGTGTGTGTATGTGTGTGTGTGTGTGTGTATGGAAAGATCCTTCACGCGAGCTGATTTTTGCAAATAAATGGGTTCATTATTAAAAAAATTGGCCAACAATAGTTAAAGAAAAAAGTCATTCAATCTTTTATTTACCTATAAACTATAAGACTCTCAATTGCACAGGCCAGTAGACATAGGTTTACGACGTTTACTACTGAAGCACATGTTTATTCACTAAATGTGACATTTAAAGTCCTATCAAACATATCCGTGTACATTTGCATCTACACACGCACACATGTCTGAGCGGTCCCATATTCGCTGACCGCTTGGGAAGAATCCGCTGACGCGACAAAGGACGGAAGTAGAAGATGGTGGGAAGAGGCAACAAAAGGACAGTTTGGCGAAGGAGATGCAGAAGAACGTGAAAAAAAAACCCCCAAAAGAACACACACACACACACACACACACACACACACACACAGAGAGAGAGAGAGAGAGAGAGAGAGAGAGAGAGAGAGAGAGAGAGAGAGAAAAATTCCGGATTGTAAATTTTATTCTTGTAACTGGCGACAAAACATTGAATGAATGGAACAAGCGAAAATCATTTCTCAAAATATTACTTGTACGCGCTCTCTCTCTCTCACACACACATTAATAATCAGTGTAAGGATCATGAGCACACCCACTTGATTACTGAAATTTTGAGTGATCAATACTTCGGAACACGCCAATCTGATGCTTTGTGTCAAAATAAGTCAAATTTAGTAAATATATGAAGTAAGACCCCACCATCCGCGGAATTGCCAATTGTGGTTTCACTTATCCGCGATTAGTGTAATCGGCTAAACCGTGCTAAAATGACTATGAAAAATACATTTCAATGTTAGTAAAATATAAACAAAATCAGAAAAAAGGCATAAAACTTTAATAATATTTTGAAAATATTAAAAAAAAAAAATGAATGAATTCATATGACATCAAAGCCATAAATGTTTGAGTGCTCAGATCCTGTGGGTAAAAACTGTCACGTCACGCATAACGCGCAACACATTAGGGTCATAAAAGGTATCACCTATCATGCAGTCAAAAGAGCCTAGTTGCGACCTGTTCCAGCTAAACAGTCGAACTCTCTGCCTTCGGGCAGAGAGGAACCCGGACGAGGCTCCGCCGAAGGGCAAAGTCTCGTTCGGGGAGGTAGACTGCCCCTAAACCCGTTTATACGGGTTCGAAAGGGAATATTTTTAGCCGAGCCTACGGGCTCGGAGAACCCACCTTAAACCGGCCTTGTGCCACATGCAGCCCTAGTGGGGGGTTAGCTAAATATTATAGTTCTGGTGTGTCTAGGGCAAGGCAGACGGATAGAACTCATCTCTCTTCAAGCTGGCTTTGAACTTTGAGTTTTCATTCTCCTAGACAGGCTCCTACTTCAACAAGACAACACAGACAGCCCTACTCTTTAACCCATATAAAGAGAAGAAGACATGGATTTCCCAAGTGTATTTGTACGAAAATGAACGTAACTAATTTGTCAGGGATTCGAACCCGGGTCGCCAATCTCTCATTCAAAGTAACGCTAAATTTTACTTTAACCGCATAAAAAAGTTGTAATTACTAATGAAGGAAAATATTTCGCTCATTGACTACTGAGATGTTTCTACATCATTTATTTAATATTTATATTTAATTTACCACGTAAGTTAAATATATTTATCAGTGGAGGGAGTTGCGCTCTCTCTGTCATCAAATGGGCTTATAGAGTAAAATTTGGGGCACATACACCCTTGTGCAAATTAATTGAAACAACCGCTTTAGATTCCTTTCTTTCACCATACGGTCAGTTTTAGACCCACTGGAGTGACAAGGTGTAATCGATTTCTATTTTGTCCTCAGATTAGGTCATTTGCAGTGGTGTACAGTAATATGAATTTATTTTCAGGGTGTATGATAAAATTTGTTTGGCCTTGAAAAATATTGCGTCATCCATGATTGCATCAGATTTTTATCACGTCCAGACACTATTGTCTCGACTGTCGATTAGTTGTCCTACGGCCATTGTCTGCGATGGACGTTATTCCAAGGAAGCGTACGAAAATTGTAACGCTGCACGAACATACTGGCAAGCCTTACCAGTGAGCAAATCAAAGTGCTATAGACCGGCCTGGAAACTCTCCTGATTTAAATCCAATCAAGAATCCGTGGTCAATCTGCAAGGAATGACTTCATGGAATGGACATTCGCTGTACTAAAACTTGTTATGTTTCATTGGAAAAATACGAAAAAATGTAAATAATAAGGGTTTTGTATCAATTAATTTGCACAAGGGTGTACCATGTTATTGTGTCTCGGATTTCACCATCCACAGGGAACCCTATCTACCGTAGATTACGAGGCCCTATTGGGTTATGTCAGGCGTTAGGGTAAGAAGTCGGCAGGTGCCTGCTGTAGAGCATTTGTTGTATATTGGATTATTATTAATGATTATCTTGTATCACACACTATCCAATTAAATTTTGTGAATTTCGACATTGGAGCAATAGATAGTAAATTAATATTGTAAAATATAACTTATGTGAGTTCGATCCTCACTGGGTACCTCGCTATGGCAATGCTGTATCAGATGATACCAAATTTAGTAAATATCTGCCTCGACTTTGTGATTAGGGCGCCTGCATTAGAGCGATTATTGTGAGAGTAGCCTGACAGACAACTGTTAGAATATGTTCGATCTCTGTGTGTGTGTGTATACTGGTGTGTGTGTGTATACTGATGTGTGTGTGTGTATACTGGTGTGTGTGTGTTTGTGTGTGTATACTGGTGTGTGAGAGAGAAATTCGTTCGTTCGTTTTCTACGGCTTATCAACCCTTTTCAGGTTATTTAAAGCCAGAAAAATTTTTAGCTTGTAAGAAATTCTTGTTTTTTGGAGATAATAAAGATTTAGTGATACAAGACTTACTAATTAACCCATATCGTGGGGGAAGAGGTAGAATCATACCTTTCCCAAAGGTATTTTCGCGTAAGTGAATATAACGAACCCAACTGGAATTGAAACTCAATTCTCCGATTAACAATTCAGAGCCTTTATCTATTACACCATCCACACATCCAAGCTGACAGCACCTGGTATTCCTAAGCGGTCACCCATCTAAGTACTGACCAGGCACTACGTTGCTTAACTTCATAGATCGTAAGGGAACCAATGTTTCAACGTGATGTGGCCGTAAGACTACGAGAGAGAGAGAGAGAGAGAGTGAGAGTGAGCGAGAGAGAGACAGAGAGAGAATGTGCGTGTTCATAAGCAAGTGTTATGTTTATATGTATGTATGGGCAGGTTCATCGCCAGAGTTTTTTTTTTAAGTTGGTTGGGGTCGGGGTGGGGCGCCATGTAAAAATTTGAGCTCTCCCCCTCAGTTTGGGGTAACGCTAACACTGACTGCTTCCCAGATTGAAAAAAAAAAAGCCATTAATAAAAAAACGACCAGTTTCGTTGTTCTCATCTATTTGCAATAAAAGATTTTTTTTCTTGAACAATATTTATGATGGAAAGTAAAATTGCATGCGCTGGAAATGTTGTACGATTTAGCGTACCTAAACTACAGGTAAGCAAGACGCAGCCTATAATTAGCTAGGTCGATCGCGATCACGAATCCTGCATTTCAAGATAGCCTGTTTTGAATTCAGGGTTTCCTTCTCCTAGACTATTCAGGATATAGAACATTGTCCTGCTAGTTATCTCCCTGGGGTGGGCAGAAGAAAAGTATTATATCTTTTCCAAAGGTATTAGCAAGTAAGTGAACCTGAGACGCTATCCATTACTCCACCGCGCCTCCGAATTAGTTATTTAATAGCTTGCCGTAGTAGCAAGTCCAAAGCCACCGACTCTACGATGTCGTTTTAACTTCTGTCACAACAAATTATCACATTTTGAACCTGCTATTAAATATTATTTATTAGATTGTCAATAGCCCAATATTATATCTATCCACCCCAGAAACAACTCATACTTGCCACTACAAGTCACAAGGGGTCTCAACACGACGTGTTTGTATCCAACTCCGATTTCAGGTCCGCGTTCAAGAGCGAAAACAGTGCGGTGCTTTTGTGATTGCTTGTATCTCGTGACTGGGGCCCGTGGAAGTTGGTAAACTCCCCTCTTGACATTTCATTGCTACGACGCCAAGTAATTTTTGAGGTCATTTTTCAGGAAAAAAAAGCACCTTAGCATACGAGAAATACGGTAGTTTGCATAATTTTCTAAGAGGAACGTCAAGTTATTTTTCAAGAGGGTGAGGGATCAGGACTCACTTGTCTTTCACTTGGCGACGAGTCTGTATATGTGTTAAATTTATATTTATTTCTACAAAGTTTTGGATGGTGATGTACACAGGCTTTCGTTCTAACGAAAACGACTCACTCCTCAAAAAAAAAAAAAAAAAAAAGATAAGAAAAAACGAAATAAAGGAAACGTAAGCAAAAATAAATAAATTGAAATGAAATATAAGATAAAAAAAAGACTATAGAAAGACTTTATAGATTTTGGTGAGGAAAGGATTTGAAACAAACATATCAGCCTCATTATGATGCAAGGCTTCCCGGCATCTGCCCAAGAAATCTTACTGGGTCGACCCTTTCATAAAAAAAAAAAAAAAAAAAAAAAAAATACAAAAACATGAAGGCTTTCTTTTTTAAATTAATTAAACGCTGAATTAAACCCCTAGCGTTTATGTGTCAACAAATTATATTTTAAAATACACATACACATAAAAAAAACGAATAAAAAACAAAACAAAAAAAAATAAGCCAAAAAATAATAAAAATAAAATAAAACAAGTAAAATATGTGAGTTGATATACAGGGTGTGTCCCTAAAGTTTGGACACACAGAAAATCTCATTAACTATTTTTTTTTTTTTTACCTTTACAGATTAAACATGGTTTTGTCGAAAGAAGAAAGAATTGACTTCTTTTTCTTCGGTATGCTAAAGAAGAAGGTCTACTCAATGAAGATCACAAATGCAACACATTTGATTGAACGAGTGAATGTGCTAAAATTGCCGCCAATGGGAGTTATAACATCGAGTTCATGTGAATCTTGCAAAACGCATCAGCCTTTGCATCACAAATGATGGAAATCATATTGAAGCTCTTATTTGTTAATTTCCCAATTCAATAAAATGTTGCTGAAAATTTAATTTCTTGAAAATATGCATTTTTGGCTATGTGTCCAGACTTTAGGCACACCCTATAGAACAGGCGAAAACATTTTTAAAAGATATTTGAAGAGAACTTTCTCTTCAGGTCAGCGAGGATTGAAACACATTTTGACATGACGATATTAGCAAAATAGAAAAACATTGTCAATTTTTTCGTTTTGTCTATTTTTTTTGGCTTCGTCTTTTTTTGATGTTGTGACAGTTATCATTTCTTTAAGGTGGAAACTTTTTAGTCGTAATTCCTGAGATTAGGGACATCGATACTGTTAGCAATATTGATTCATCCTCATTGTTGTTGTTTTAATCCCAAAGTTTGAACCAGTCTCATCTCCGGAGTTCTTCAGGTGTCTATAGTATTCAGTACCCGTGAGGGAATTTATATATAAGATATAATACAATTGTAGTTTTAAAGGTATGCAATATTTATAGATTAAAGGGCTCAATATCAGGTGTAGAGCCTATGGAAATATAAGTGAACATTGAGGTCAACATTCATAAGGTCGTTTTTATTAGTGGATTTTTGGTAGATCTTGTAATAGTTATGGCTCCACAGAAGATAGCTTAGAAACTCTAACTGATCGGTTGGGTTTTGATCCGGGTTTGAAGTGTTAAGATGTCTTGTCGCACTGGGGAGCTGTGATACAGCGAAACAGTACTGTCTGCGAGTGCCATATATATATATATATATATATATATATATATATATATAATAGGGTTGTTGGGATTATATATATATATATATATATTATATTTTTATTATAGGAGATTATAATAAAAACACTTTAAATCGCTACAGAAAGGCTTTCATGTTTCAGTGCTATGATTGTACTTCCTCAGGTAGTGGTTGGTAACTGCTTATAAAAATGATTTATTAGGGAAATTTAAAAACAAATTTTTACTTCTTTTCCGAAAGTTAAAGTGAGCGGGGATGTAAGGTCAGAATTAAAAAATATACTTGTGGGTATGTCTCGATTAACCAATTAAATGTTAGATCTACGCTAAATAGATAAATAAGGTTAGAGGATGGAGGTGGGTGAGTAATTTCTGCATGTGACGATAAACCGGCGCTTAGCCATGTCAATCCTTGAAGATTGTGGAGAATATGCCAGCGACAAATGTATCATATATATATATATATATATATATATATATATATATATGTGTGTGTGTGTGTGTGTGTTATCTCGTTGGTATATTGTTTCTAATTCTATGTTTATGCTTTCTGTCTAATCGGACGTCCTTCCGAGAAATATCTGAATTTTCAACCTGACGAAATATGAAGATTATGCAGATCAGAATGGTAGCGATCAAATCAACAATGCAAGCCGAAAATAGTCATTGCCCAATATTAACGACACCTCAGCGAAAAAAATGTTATACATAATATGACAATGATGTATTGAGAGTGTTTCGTGAATTTATTCAATATTATTCTCAACTATCCTGATGATATCTTTCCATATGTGAAATGGCATGAGGCAAATATTATCACCACAGCAATTGTTTATTATTTGAATTTATGTATGTTTTATTTATATCTTCCTTTGGGATTTACATTTTCAACATTATCAAGTCTTTTACCCCTGGTCTTTTTTTTTTCTCTTTTTACTTTCAAAATGAAAGCCTAGCGTTTTTTTTTTTTAGTTTTAAAATGGATAATATTAGTTAAAATAATTAAGATAATGTTTACTAGCAAGAACAAAAACATTCATCAACAAATGGATAGAGGGTTTTTTCCCATTTACATCGATGACGTAACTTCCGCCTTCTTCGGCCTGTATTGTCCTTCATTTTCCGGCTCGTGCTCTGTGGTTTCTTTGTCTGTTGCCGCCAAGGTTTGTCCCTGCATTTCCAATGGAAGATTTTGATTGTTTTGCTCTTAGCAGCAACGCAATGCATGCCGGGGGGCCATGAACACGCTCCATTGTCAACGCAGCTTCCCTGTCGTATCCAAGGCGGCCAGAAATAGTCTCCTAAATTTTGCCAATGGTACTGAACAGGGCACGATGATTTCTTGACCAGCCATCGCTTGATTGCGTCCATGACTTTCGGTTCGATTTCCATTGGGCTGTCATCGTTGTTTGATAGAGTGATGTTTACTTTTTCAATGGCGGCTTTCATTTCGAGATCAGTTGAATAATTAAGATATTTGAGTGGTGTTCCGCGGTAAATTGGTTCTGTGATTGACATGACTTCATGATTGAATTCCTTCTTCAGGAGACGCTTCAATTTCTTGTTTGGTCTGGATCTCGGCTTAATAGTCCTGATACCGCGAGCATCATGTCCGCTCGGCAGGATGGGATTAGGCGGGATAACCCGCTTTAAAGCAGTTCCCGGAAGTAGCCGAAAATTGTCCGCCTTGTTCAGAAAGGTGGAACCCAAGAGTTCTTGCAACATAAAACTGTTGAATATGTACCATAACATGACTGGTCTCCTCCTCTTCATCTTTATACGAATCGATAGTAACCTGCAAAAAAGAAAAAAAAACAGTTATTTTATATGAACTGTAGTTATTTAACATCAAGAAATATTTTTTCTGGTAGCGTAATAGTTATCAGCGCGGAATGTGGAATCAACGACACGAGTTCAAATTCCGGCCTAGCTTGATGTGCACTCTTTTGCACAAACGCCCTTGGCGAAGAGATGTATCTGTTCTCCCTAGCTAAGTGTTAAATAGCATATTAGACTGGACTCTTTAACCTCGGTAGAAGAAAAACCTCTATATTTCCAAGCCGAGAAGACAACGGGACACTACTCTACTACCTTTCCTAAGAAGGTGTAGCAGTCAACAGATAAGGAAGCTGTAGAGAGCCATGATCGCCCACGTCTTGAAAAGACTTAGTACATAAAAATGGAAGTCTTTTATCTACCATTAAAACATGACTTGCGAATTATTTTTTGTGGTCATATACAATGATCACGAAAATATTTACCCATTTTATGACCACGAAAATATTTACACATTTTATGACGACGAATATATTTACATATTTTATGATCACGAAAATATTT